AATTGCGTGCATGGTAACCTGTAATGTCGGGATATCCCCCATTGAACTTTTTTGCTGCACCCAAACTTCCTTTAGATCCTGACGGGCGGTCCTCCACAATGATTTATTTTGCATCCTCATCCTTTTCAGCTTGGAATCCCTTAGTATACATTATGACGCTGCAGTTGTGCAGTCTTCCTTGATGATCTTGCCAACCTTGTAAAAATGGTTACTGGTCGCTGTAACTTTTAACGACTACTGTTCCTGGAAGGAACATCAGTGGGGCTCAAAGTTGCAACAACCATTTACCACTTTTACAAGTTTTCATTTTAGCTGGAACTTTGAACCACTTTCTGGTCATGATAGAAAGTCCCCATATGGTCCATGGTTGCTGGATTTTTTAACCTGCTACCATGGACTGAAAGTCCAGACTGTAGAGGTCCAGGAGAGTGGGAATGTACTAATAACCTCTGCCAAGGGATTGTCCGTGTGGCGCAGGCCCGCCTTTTGTTTTTAATAATTAAAGCACCCGCAAGAATAGGCAGGAGTGATGATAAGAGCATGCACTCCTACCTACCATGCAGGGGACGCCATTCCATTGGTGGGGAGCTGCACCTACTGGAAACCAGGTCCAGCGTCCCCTGAACAATGGTAAAATAGCACAAGCTGGGAACCTGGCCCAACGTCCCTCATGATGTCTTCGATTCTGCTGATAGCTCGAAGACAAAAAAACGGGGATTAAGACTTGGGCACCTCTTCAGTTTAATTGAGGACCGCCAGATTAGATTATCAAAACCAGCACCCAAAAATTTATTTTGCCATTGTGCACATCCAAAGAAAAAACAAAGGTTCTAACTACTTTACTCTCCCTCTAATCCAAACCATTGCAAATTAACCAAAACAAGTTCGGAAAGAGGAAATGCATCTGTGACAAAATAAGGAAATGTGGGTGACGCGCCTGGCTGAAGTTTGAACCAGTCTCGGAATAAGAGGCGAAAATCCTTTTTGAAAGGCTCTGTTGCCCCCTCCGCCCCTGACCACTTCACTTCACCCAGGCCCCCCCCAACAAAATTTCCCAGCCAGTCTTTGTCAAATTGTTGTATTGCCATCTTTATATCTCTTTTAGAATGAAATTTTTATAATTTGATTGTGAGGTTTTCCCATTGTGCCCCGACCACTGCTGTTTGAACAAAATCCACAATTGATTCCACAATATCAGTTCCTTCTAACCTTACTTTTTCTCTTTCCCTTACACATTGTCTGTATCACAACGTCGAGATAACAACCTTGCGTCCAATCATAAAGAAATTTTGCTCAAAGTTTAATAATTGAATGTCTGCCGATTCCCAATAGCCTAGAAGAATGACCCTCAAATCCCATGGCCAATCTAGACCAGTGTCATCAATTGGTACGGGGTTGGCCCGTCCATACTCCCGTACTTCCGTACGTGGCCTTCCCGGAGGGGGTTAAGGGGGTGGATGGGCTGGGGGGGGGGTCAGGTGTCGGG